TTTTTACGAGTCTCATTGAGTGATATCTCGCTGTATTTTGCTCCAGAGTCGAAGCTAGTCGTCGGGTCTCTTTCTCTCTCTTTCTGAGAGTTTTATTCATGTTTTTTGCAATACATGATTAATAATTGTGTCTTGGCTGAAATTTAATTTAATCACGTTTATCCAATATTTTTATACTCTGTATATCACCAATTTGTTTCATTATCTTGTAACATTTACTTGTATCATTCTGATACAATTTGGGATATAAGTTCGCGATATAAGTTTCCATTGAAATTTTTCTCCGAAAATTCATAATAAACTTTACTGCACAGAATTTTGTAACCGAAGAATTGATCGATATTCTGATACAAAATTGATTATCCTTTCACATATTCCATTTATGTGCTACTTATATTGCAGAAACTGGAACGCGAGCTTGTTAAAAACTATGCTATATTCCTGGTATAATTTACTATGTTTCTTAGCAATATAGACGTTACTGACTTTGTTTATAACTTACACTCAAATGTAGTAAAATTGAAAAGAATTTATATGAAAAAAAAGAAATTCTATAATATTGTTTCTGTACAATTTTATAGCTAAGTATAACTTTATCTTTCCTTCTGATGATCTTCTACTGTCGAAAAGAATTAATAGTACATGTCAGTACATTATTAAACATATTAGTACATCATTTAACAAAATTATTACGCCAAACTATAATGAAATCGATTTTAAATTTTTAGCAGAAATTCTTGCTGACATATCGAGCAATACAATATTTAAATACCTATCTATGCGCATAAGTCAGAGAACATTGTCTCGTATGAACTAACAGAATATCTCGAAATCTCGTTATTTCCAAATATCTCAATGTAGAATTAAAAGCAACGATGTTATACTCGTATCTGTTCCTTCTCGTGTCCCTCCCGATTTTCCGAAATGTTCAGAGACGTGTATCCCTGGTTAAACCAAAAATAATACAGACAGGTTGGCAGAGGGAAAGAGGGGGGGAGAGAGAGAGAGAGAAAGACAGAGGTAGTAACGAGGAATTTCAATTTAATACATCAGCTGGGAGATTAAAGTGAATATTATTTAACCCGTGTTTCCCGCCCTGGATTGTCGAAGTGTCAATCTTAATTTCACAATACGTCACGCGGATAAGCCGTGATTGGTAATGACGAGCACCGTTTATCAGAATCGCAATATCCACCACCGATTGTGCACCGCCGCGGATCGCGCGCGCGCATCTTGATATTCCGTTAAACGCGCGACCGTATATCGCGCTACCGCGGCTGAACTGTAACTAGTTTGCTCGAATATTCGCGCCGCAATTGTTGCGACTTAATAACGGCCGGAATGCGAGCCCGATTTCCTATTTGTAAATACAACTTGACGTTGGCGCGCGCGCATAAATCCGTGACAGAAGCGACGTTTTGTTCGTCGCCACGCGGGGTCTGCGACCCCCAGAGGCCACGAGCATCGCAATAAATATATGAATCGATAAGTTTTCCAATTACTAATACATACGATTTCACATTGATCAGCGGGAATCCGTTAACGAGACACGAAAACTCACGCCGCACGCGTCGCACCGAACGCGAAGGCACTTCAGCTCGCAGCATAAATTCGCTTCGTACATAAATTCATGCGAAATCATTAGGGAGAATTTTATAGGGTGTTGTGTTTGGTGTGCATAACTTCAGGGATGAATTTAGTTACGCGCGAGAGAGCAATTTCTTTCCTTCTGTTCTCCCTCCTTTTCCTCGTTTCTTTTGCTTCTTTTCCTCCTCTTAAGAAGCGAAGTGATCTCTTCGCTGCAGGGAGCTTTCGCGCGGGGCGAATCGACGCATTTCGTACGTTCGACCGATGCAATCTGATCAAATCGGTCTAATTTCATCCTCCTCGAACGATCGTTAACGCGAGATATGGAAATTCTGAAACGAACAATGGCGGCCAACTATTGTTATCCAGGAGTCTGATGCCTTTTTAAATGTGGCTAATCAATGAGATACCTAGCTGTCTCGATGAGCTTATTCCCAGCTTCTCGCACGATCAATAATGGCATACTCCTCTTCGTCTGAGAGGGATGTAGAGAGGATCTTTAGACTAATAACACACACACACACACATACACGCGCGCGCGAACGCACACCCACACGCCGGAATTTGATTCCTGAATCGCCTGGTTAATCAAAACGGGATCGATAAAGCTAAGCCGGACTCGGGCTTACCGATAAACGAGACATTTAGTGCTGTCTGCTTGCGATCTGCACCCACGCCGCACGAGTATCGCACAAATTTGTAACGAACTCCTCTATCCTCCTCGCCCCCAGGAATCGAACCTCACAAAAGGGGCGAAGCGCGTTTTCGCGAGCGAGCCGAATTAATTGATGGAGAAACGAAGGAAGACGAAGAAAGAGAAGAAGAAGGAAAAAAGAAGATGCTTGAGAGTAGCAAATCCGCCGAGAGAATTCCGTTTCCGACCTCGAGCTTCGTCACGACGGGAGAGAGGGGGGAGGGATGAGATATCGCAAGAATTCCGATAGAAGAGCGTCACTCGATACCGGGCCGCATGTCTTTTCCGAAAAACGTGCCGTGAGACGCGCCATGAAGCGACCTCGTCGCCCGATCTATCGAGATTCTCGGCGGTGTGCCATCTTTCCCGTTATTCATACATCTAAGTGCTGCCAGGTTCATTTACAATATATGTAATAGCTATTAATAAATCCAGATTAAAAAGGCTAACGAAGTGCGGGTAAAGTCAAAGGCATTTAGTTAGCGAGGATCTTCTTTTTTATTTTTCTCTCACGTTCTTCTTTCCATTTCCTCTCTCTCTCTCTCTCTTTCTCTTTCTCTCTTTCTCTCTCTCTCTCTCTCTCTTGCATCCTCTTTTCACTTGTCTTTTCTTCCGCGCGCAGCTCTTTCCCTCTTCTTACCTATCCTCACTTGTCGACTAGAACGAACGTTGAGTAAATTAGCGCGTCACCGGCCTTCTCCACCGACCTATTCTGTTGCTCTCTTTTATCCTCCTCTTCGCGAGAGTGTATGCGCGTGCGTGTATGGGACGACGCGCTTCAGAAGAAAGCTCCTTCGATTCCTTACGTAAAAGCCAAGGCGTGGGAAGACGGGGGGAGGGGAAGAGGGTAGGGGCAAGGGGATTAAGTTAACTTTTAAATAGGTCAACTTTACGCATTGTACGTCGCGCGAGTGTGCACGTACGTGCGCGACTACACTTTCAGTTATCGTCGCGACTATCAAAGGAAGACCGGATAGTGAATTATACAATGGCCCGCCCTCGCTCGTCCAGGTTGATTTTGTTCTCTCTTTCTTCCGTTTTTTCTCCCCTTTCTTCCCCAGAACTTGCCATCCGTTCATTCGCTTCCGTCTTCGAACTCCCCAACATTGTTCCTTTCCGGTGTGGCTCGAGTAGATTAGATAAGGGTAGAGTAAAACGACCAATAGCCGGCACTCAGGTTGTTTCTTGCGCGGACTTTACCGAATATCAAGGTGTATGGCGATTTATTAGTTACTTATTAGTTATTTTATTTCTGTTAATCTCTTTGCGCGTACACGGTTATACTTCTTTCTATAACATATGGCGCAGTCTGAATCTGGCGGATCTGGACAACTTTGAATTGTGAAAACCATTTATTATAATTTAACTTTGAATTATTTATTATAATTTATATCTATTATAGCAGTGTTCAATAAAGCTTAATATAGTAATAATAATAATAACCATCACAACTTTGATGAAAATCAGTAGGCGGTATTGATAGTCGTTACTTAAAATTCCCTCCACGTGAGATACTCAAATCTGCATATAGTATTTTAGATTTGAGTTTTTTTACTTGTATTATATAATATATGCGACTCTAGATTCGTAGCCACGAATATTCAGCTGAGAAGCTCGCATCTATCTCTGAATTTAAAGTAGAGTATCTCACCAGAGGGCAAGCTTCAAGTAACGACTATGAAAATAGATAAATATTTTTGGACATACATCTTCTTCCTCAAAGCCTCAGCTATAAGATGATAGTGCAATAAAATCAACATTTGCAAACAGATTTGCGCCAGTAAATTTACGAAAGTAAATTTACGAAATGTACGAAAGTAGACTGGTGGGCAAATGTTCGCTCGAGTCCCACGCAATCAACATTGTCAACGCGAAAGGTTAATTATGATTTCTTTATTATTTATCTACTTACTTATTATTTATCTGTATATATTCCCATGCGCCTTATAATACCTAACAAAATTCGTGCAAGAATGACAAGAACAGGTCGCGTGCGTGCGAGTGCCGTTCTATTCCGTCGTTTTACTCTACTTTGAGCGCGAGCGACTGGTGGACCCGAACAGGACGAAGATTCAAGAGATAGCTATAATTCGAAATCGATGCCTCTCTCTTTCGAGTCTCTCTAGAGAACGTTCCAGCTCCGCGAACGACCGTTCGGCGACTCGTGATGGCGGATCTCGCCAGGAGCTCGGATTTTTCCGCGGAGCGTCGCGTTAATTGCGACGTACAATTACGGGACTTGAGTTTAACGTTTGGAAATTACGAGGACGCGGGTAAGAAGGAAGGACGCTGTTCGATCGGCGAGTGCTCGGGCGAAGGGGCGAGGCGCGCGGCCAGAGGAAGGAAAGCGCGGATCCTCGGCGAATTGATAAAAAGGACGTTGAAGTGGCCGCGACGAAGTTTGTATGTGTAGCTGGCCCGGCGCGCGCTACGTGCAATATGAATTATGTAAAACCGAACTAAAGACGGCGTCCCAGTAAATGAATCTCCCTCGTGGATCCTCTTACCGCGGATAAGTGCGAATCATGTCCCCGTCACGTCGATGATTGCGCTAATGAACTGCAATCGCATTTCCGTGGTAAGCGTCCGCTCAGAAAATAATAATTACGCGAGCGCGATACACCAGCCGGTGCTGACTGGCGCGCTCGTGAATCGAACGGACGAGAGAGGCGCAGTCGCGCGTTACCGAATTCTAACGAATGATTTCGTTTAATTGCAGGTAACTTCGCTGGCTACGCGTCAATTAATCTTCCGCTATTGTGTGTACAGTTCGCCGTTCTCAATGTGTTCCACTGATAATTTAATAGATAGGTAAGTTTTGAACGTTGCCGCAATGCTCGCCAATTATGCAGTTCGCGTATAATCACTAATTATAGCTGAATTACGCCGAGCGCGGCTGCATCGGTCCTCAGTCGGAAGCAGTTGCATCGGATAACGCGAATCATATGGAGAGGGAGGAGAAGGGTTCTCTTGCCGCGTTCTTTCTTTCTTTTTTTTTTTATTATTGTCCGTTATCCCTGAAGGTTCTCGGGCCACAGTATGCGGAATAAGGAGCTTGACGTAGGTTGGGGTAAAAAGTAAAAATAATACAGGACCACAAAAAAATAAAAAGTTTTTTTCACCGGAAAGAGGAGTCGTTATTTTTTGTATATTTCGACGGGCTGAAACCGAATATGACTTTTAAAATAACGTAGCACGTCCAGTTTTTGTTACAACGGACAAAAAGGCTCAAAATCAAGCATTTTTCATATTCTACACAGGACATACTCGCTGTGATTAAATTTTCTTATCTTAAATTTTCTTGTCTTAAAAACAATAATCATATACGAAGTACTTTATTTCAGTGAGTCTCCTTGACTTTTACACATGGGACATTGATGATTAATGTTATCCTGTACGTAAGAGACGAGAGAACTCACAGAAATCACGCATCCTGTATATATAACTTAATATTTCGCTTATTAAAAGTTTTCCAACACATTAATGTACATAATTATAGCTGAGGAAATTTAATCACAATGTGCACGCCCTATGTAAAATATGAAAAATGCTTAATTTTTAGCTTTATTCGCCCGTTGTAACAAAAACTTGACGTGCTACGTTATTTTAAAAGTCGTATCCAGTTCCAGAATGTCGAAATACATAAAAAATAGTGGTTCTTCTTTAAAAAGACTTTTTATTTCTTTGTGGTCCTGTGCAATTCATCTCGCTCTTACACTTATACTTCAGCTCCCTCATACCGGGAGTATTTCTCTTTTAAGTAAGGGGAAACACTTCCGCTGTAAGGGAGCTGGGCTATAGGCGTAAGCGAGATAAATTAGTTTTACTTCTTGTTGTATTGTAGACGAACCTTTAGCTTACGCGCGCGTGGCGCGGGCAGGCGGCGTAACTTTCCGACGCGCGCTCGTGGATAATTTGTTGTTTATTAAACCGTCGGAAAGGGGGGAGCCGCGAGTATACGTTAAAAGGAGAACTTCGACCGCCTCGCGCTCCATACACGCGTGTATATAATTGGTCGAAATATACAATACATAGTTTACGTATTTTTTCTCAGCTGACCTCAACCCGTACGCGCGGGGTAGCGGAATTCCTCCGGCCGCGTTTCAAATGGGTTTATATTAAAGGGACCGTGCATGTAAATTGGCTATCCGCAGTGATTCACAATTGTTAGCGGAGCAATTATCTTTTAAATTGTACGAGCCCATTGTTATTTCAATTAAATCGAACTATTCGGAAACACAGAGATAAACATAGCGTTTGTAAAAATAGTGACTAAAAAAAAAGGAATTTTAAGAACGCCACTTTCGAGATCGGGCATTTCTCTCATTGTTAAATACTAAAAGACCATCGGCACCGAGCGAAATTTCGCAGCTCATCAAATCCCTTAGCTATAGGAGACTTCTCGCGGCGAATTTTGATCGACGTAAAGGTATTATGATACATCATGCGCCATGTGTGTGTACTTTTAACATTACAATTACATGAAAAAATGCTTTTGCATCAACATTTTTTGATTCAGCGGTGTAATTGAAACTGATGCTTTAATAGAAATAAGTAACTATAATTGAGACTAATGCTCTAATAGGAATAAACTAATAACAACAAGCTAATATGAGTTATCAAAACAACAGTATCTCATATTGATTCAGTAATACTATTATCGAATTGAGCAGCTTCATTTCAATCAGACTAATGCTTTTGATATACAATAGTATCTTTTCTACTATGTTATGTAGAGTTGCTTGTACGATCTCCAACTTTACCTAGATTTTGCAACTTTACATAGGAGACCTCTAATAAATTGTATTTCCACTGGGTATTAACTGACGAGATCTGTCCCAGAGCGCTGAATATATTATACTATAGTAAAAGTAATTAGTTTCCAGGCATGTATGATGTCTGAACAATTTTGCAATATTTCTGCAGGGTTTATTCTGGTGCTGTCGATAAACGACATTTTTTTATTAGCTACGATTATTTATACGATCTTTAACTTTACAAAGCTGAAAATTGCATGAAACCTTTAGCAAATTCTTCTTGTATTGATATTTACTCAAATCTGAGATCCGTCCCAGAATATTGAATCGATTACGCTGTAATAATAAGTTTCTAGACGAACATGATGTCTGAGAAATTCTGCAACACTTCTGCAAGGTTTATTCCAATCAGACCGGTACTGTTGGTACAACAGCATTTTTTTACTGCATACGGTTACTTACACAATTTTTAACTTTACACAACACACATGAAGCTGAAAATCGTATAAATCTTGAATAAATTCTTGCATTGGTCTTTATCTAAAAAGATCTGCCCCAGAGCGCTGAATGGGGAAGAATTGCTGAAATCGTATCGGTTTCTTAAACTGTACCTTATCAATTTCTTTATTATTATTGAACGTGAATAACATTTAACGTGAATAACATTTAACGGTAAAAAATGAGAAGTAAATGAGCAATGAGACACATAAAAGTTTTATAAAAGATATATTTTGTTTCGTGTGTGCTAAAAACATCTAAAAGTATCAAGTACGATTTAGAAGACCGATGCGATTTCGACAACCTAAATGATGCTATACCCTTATAGAAATATCACACTAAGAATCATTGATAATTACTTATTATCCAGTATTTTTAATACTGAAAATAAGTAATTCTTCTTTCAATGATTCTTAGTATGATATTTCTATAAGGGTAATAATAGTAACAAGTTTCGCGATGTGTGTATATGTGTGTGTGCATGAGAAACGCCTGAAAAATATTTTGCAACAGCTGATATAATTTATGTGTATAATTTCAGATCGCGCCGTTATCTCGACGAAGATCCGAATGTGGTGCACGCGCAGAAAATCGTCGGCTGCACGTTGAGCACTCCGTGAAGCGTGAAGCAAACGATTCTCACGATGGTCGAGTCGGACGAAAGATCCGCAACACATTGCCTCTCATCTTCGTTGCTTGTTAACAAGGATATTAGTTGTAAATTGTAACTATATATATAAATGTGTATGCGCGCGCGCGCGTGCGTGTGCGTGTGTGTGTATGTGTGTGTGATCGCTGCTTCGATAATCGACGATAATCGAAGCGGAATGAAAATTAACGAATAATTTAACAGTTGATTCGCGCGTGAACGACGAAAGGAGCACGCGAACTCCTTTGATTCTGGGGAATTCCGCGTATCCCTTCTCTTAATTCCTCTGCTAGAACTTCTTTGAAAATTTAACCGAGCGTCATTTCGTTTTACGAGTCTCCCGACTTTCGGTTTCGAATTCAATTCGATGGTCCCGTAACTGAATTTAACTTTCAATTGTAGCCTACACCCCAATTAGAGCGGGAAACGAAGTTTTCTTATCCATTTGCAACTTTATCCGCTTAATTTGTCAAAGCCGTGTTTAATTTTCGCCCGCTCGCTCTCGCTCGGCTGGCAGAGAGCTATTCGCGTCGTTGTACATTTTTATCGCGTTTACCCATTTCAGTGCGACTAGTTTTTAATCATTCCGAAAGCTCTGTGCACATATGTACCGATCGCATTTCGAATTTCGGTTGTACATATATACGCTGTACAAAATGTCGTCGAGGCTAAATTTCAACGCGGGATAAATGATTCGTGGGCGAGCCCAAAGCGACGAGAATAATGATCGTGAGAGATCGGCAATGTGCGCGAAGCGTTGCGCCAAAAAAACAAAGACGCAAATCGCATTTATATCATTATATTTATTAATTATTTGTGCGGAGAACGGAAAAAGGAAAAACAAGTACGGATATATTCCTGATTAGCGTAAGCTTGCGAAGTAGCGAGCTGAAATGCGTTTCCTTGTATTCTAAGCTTTTAAGTAGTCAGTAGTAGTTCTCTACGTGGCTCCCCTCTAATTCGTGAATCATTTCGCCTTGGCTGCGCACAATCGAGATTCGCTGTGCGGCGCGCTTACACTCTCGCTAGTGAAAGAAACGTAATTTCTCGCCTCGAGCCGATTAATAGCGCGGCAGACGGGACATTTTACCTCGACGAGAGGACGAGATTTCACGTAGTGAAATCTCACGATGGTGTGTTTCTCGCGACGATTCCTCGCGAGGGAAGGGACAGATAGAGAGAGAGAGAGAGAGAAAGAGAGAGAGAGAAATACAGTTGCAACGAATGACAAGATTGTCCGATTATACGAGATATCGCGAAATTTAGTGCATAGTTACTGTGCAATTAACAATCTCGGATCTGTTTTCCGCCAATCAATAGTTTCCTTCACGCGTCGTGCCGGTGTGACGGACGGCAAAATGTGCGTTATGCTGATTTCTATCTGAACCTAACACACCCCCATAGACATATCATCTTACACGGAATGCCCCGTGAAAATATGGCCTCTCTTACCAAAATATCTGTCTCGGAGAAGCAATAACACGCGCGCGAGTCTCTTGCTGTTTTGTCGGTAAACGGAGCGCGAGCGCGCGCGCGGGACCTTTGTTGGCTCGCCGGTTTCGCACCAAAAGTCGCAAGACGCGCTCTCGGCAAGTGCGCGATACTGCCCGCGAAAAGTACTCGAGTGCGTTAGAGAGCACTGAATAGGCACCCATATTGAATATATTCGTATGTAACATCGCGTACCGCTAATGTTTGCAATCGTCGCTTCCGGGGTGGGACAGGGGAGGAGGAGGAGGAGAGAGAGAGAGAGAGAGAGAGAGATATTAACTGTGTTCTTCTAAGATAAATAGAAATACGGAGCAGGCTTCCACGTCGCACATTCCTATATTACGTACGCTTTCGCGCTCAGCACGATCCATTCCGACCTAGTATCGCTATGATATACCGTATATATTATAAATGCGCATCATTGTGGAGCCCGCTTCGCGCGGCCTAAGGTGGACTTTACGACAAGGCCGCTCCATCATTTAACGGATTGTTCTCTTGTCTTCGCCTCATGAGACATAATTGATTTCTATTATTGTGTTACTATGTTATCAGAGAGAGAGAGAGAGAGAGAGAGAGAGAGAGAGAGAGAGAAGGAGGAGGAGAAGGAAATATATATCTTCATTTTCGATAACCTGCGTCTGTATGCGAACGCGTGAGCACAGGAAAAGCGCGTGAAATTGGATTGTAAAGTATCCGTCACGTGCGCTATGAGTTCAACGTACTCGCTCGCGGGTTAATAATAAAAAAAAAAATCCCTTCGATGTTCTTCGAGCGATAGCACAGTTTAGGGTGTAAGAATTCGCGTCGGGGACGACTAACGCACGGGTACATATGCCAGGTGTTGCGCGTTAATTCACCCAGCAACATCCGCCGGTAGTCGGACGCGAGCGATGAGAACACTCGTCTAGCTCTAAAGATCGAACTTACGCAAGATAAGATCCACGTTTTAGCATGCAAAAGTAATACACATGGTACTACGAGATATTATCAATTCGCGAGTTTGTATATAAATCTGTACACTAAGAGAGAGAGAGAGAGAGAGAGAGAGAGAGAGAGAAAGACACATGACACTTCGTCGTGCAGATGTAATAAAGAGAAAAAAAAAGAAAAAAAAGAAGAAAATGAAAAAAGAAGAAAAGAAAGAAAAAAGAAAATAAATTGTTCTGACCAAATGCATAGTTACGATTATTGTAATCGCGTATGGATGCGTCATAAACGTAGCGTCACTTAATAATTTAATCATTCGCACGGATATGCGGAGTACGAGAGGCTGACGACGAAGCAAACGAGACCCCGACACGAAGAGGAATCTCTCTCTCATCGATCAGTCGCTTTAACGCGCGGTCGTAACCTAGTGCGGTCCGTTGATTTCTCCGCTCGGAGTTATTAGCATGGACTCTCGACGCCGCCAGTCGTCGCGCGGAGGGATGCTTTTCGGTCATTTGAATTGTACGGCAAATATCGTTGATACGATATTTGCCGTACAATTCAAGCTAACAACGGCAGCTAATAACGGCCATGGAACTTACTTGCGATTCTGCAACTTCAAGGAGAAACTGCGGAGGAACCCCGCATGCGAACTCTCATCGCATGGCGCGTAACTGATCAAGGGGAAAAATGTGTACATACGATTCTCCGGAACTGGTCTTGTCAGTTTCTTCGTGGCGCCTCGTATACGCGTAGGATAAACTCAAATTTGCTTTTCAAACGACAATATCTGTATGTTAAGAGAGAAAAAAGTAGGAAGGAAAGAGAGAGAGAGAGAGAGAGAGAAAGAGAAAGAGAAAGGGAGAGAGAAAGAGAGATAACAAGAGAACGAAAGAGCCGGACAGAAAGAGAGAGAAAGAGAGCAACACGTGTGCCTCGCGTTGTAAGCTTACGATATATTGTTGTAATATACGCGCGATACTATTCGCCCGGCTTATCACATACGTCACTCGAAGGGACTCCAATTTCGATTTTCGTCTTTATAGCTTCGCTCTCGATCTGACAAGAGCGGGTGTAACTGCACGTCCTTCGTCGATTATTCGTGTCCATGTTGTACTTTCGGTCTAATGTATACACATTGTAATTTTATACTAAATAATAGTCTTTACTACCTCTGTAAACACTATTTAGATACATCGAATTCATGTTATACATATGTGTATGTATATATCTGTGTGTATATACTGATTAAGGCGCCGTTGGAACAAATTGTTTGATAACTAATACAAGCATAATCAATGTTTTGTGTCTAAATTCGCGCGTTTGAAGTGTAATTACCTACTCCAACAGTTCACCGTTATATTATTTTGTTGCTTTATTATCATCATTGTTATGTGCTTTTACCATCATAATATTAATATAATTTATCAAAAGTTTGTATGATATACTTTTTTCGCTCGTAAAAAAAGAACAAAACTCAGCGGACTGTAACTGCGGCAAAAGTGACTAACGAGATGACCGAAAAATATCTTACTGCCCCTCAGTTCCCAGGTATATCTTCGAATATGAAGTTTATGTATTTCTTACACGAATATAAATCAAGACTCGTGAAATGCCAAAACTTACGATGAAGTTTGTCGAGTTGCACCGCGTAAACAAAAACTATATTTGATTGATACTTGTGCCATTCGGAAGTGAGGACTTTTATTTTAATTTATGTATATATAAATTGCGATTTCTTTCACTTAATTATTAACGTACAAACTTTAAAAGTTACATACGTCTTCTCGACTTTTATCGCCCACAGAGAGAGTGCATGAATCGTAGTATGTATACACGACATTCATTAAAAAACAAATAGAAAGTTGAAGGTTTTCTCCTTAAAATGTATTTAATATATATCTCATACAAATAAATTTGCAATGTAAAAGCTCAGCCCAAACAATGATGAGATTGAAGATGGGACGATTGCTACATTTCTCGCTTTGACGCGATATATTTTCGCGAAAACGACAGCAACGCTAGAGTAGAGGCCTCAAGTTGCAAAATGCTTCTCGAATCTTGTTATCGTAACTTTTGCCGAGGTTACAAACCGTTGAATTACCGTTGAATTCTACTTATTCTTTATAATCGAAGAAAGTGATCTTTAAGTTTTTATGTGTGATGTATAATATCTCTGAAGTACCGTTGAGTAGTACTGTTTGAAAATAAGACTCTACTCCCACGTAGCACAAAGCACTTGCAAAGCGTTTACATAGCGCTTTTATAGCAGTAAGACACCTGCAAAAGCGCTTTCTGAGCGCTTTGTAGACGCTACTGTGCTACTTGGGCTGGCTTGCCGTCGAGTCGTAAAATTTAAAAATAAAATAGCATCTGTGTGTGTGACATTGAAGTCAGTCGAAAAATCGACTCAACTGTATGTACAAAATGGTTGGTTTACCGTCGAAGAGGCTCGAAAATTTAACCATATTTCTCGACTGACTCAACATTGGAACATCAGAAATTACCTTTGACTTGCGCTGAGTTGCGATCTCTATTTTCCGTTGGGGACATAACCGGGGCCTTTTCGCGGGACTTCCGATTGCATTATTCAACTTGGACGAATACTTAGAAAACAACGGCGAATTGAATAAAACATTCGAACGTAAATCAGTGATTTTTATCGTTTCCCGCACGTTTCGCGCCCATTTAAAACCCGAGACAATCCGTTTAATTGTATCGCTTACCCGACGTTCACTTCCATTTGCGCTCTTGTAAAGAGTGCCCGACGCGCCATCTAGCAGCGTGGCGAACAACGAATGCGTGTTGAGTCTTAACTAATACCTCCTGTACACAAGACGCGGAAACGCTTGCTGCACGCAAAAAGCGATGTGATAGCCAATCAGCGTGCCGTAAGAGCTGGAAATTTATTAATTACCTATAGCCTGTCGCTACTTGCCGCGCGACAGGCATTTAAATATGAACTTGAGATGATTTTGAGAATAATCGATAAGAAATATAAGATCCGGCTATAGGTTTGTTCCACAGACTTCTAAATAATATTTAGACCGCTAATTAGGTATAGTTTAATTAAGGATTGTTTGGTCGGAAAAATACCGTTTGCCATCTTTGAAAGGACCTCGTATACGTGACCTGAGTGGCAATGTGTGAGTGGGAGGAAGCAATATACTATAGTGCGTGTCATTACTACTATATGATACGGTCCTTTCAAAGATGGCCGCCCGATATTTTTCCGATCACTCGCTAAATACGAATATTAGCAGTCTAATTTATATATAGAAGTCTGTAGTTTATTTACGTTGCTTTCATTCTTGACACTTTTGCATCAGGCTAAAATACGCAACATCGACGTGCTCGAAGCAAGGACCAATGACATGCGAGAGATTTGTTCTTTTTAGCTGCTCCTGAACTACATATCTAGATGCACGATACACGGCACTAAATCGAACAAACTTATTCTTTTTATTTCCGTTCATGGACGTAGTATACATGGACCCCGCATACGGCCAGAAAAGTGAAGCCAATATGTAGAAAGAGACCATAGACTCCGCATACAATCAGAAAAGAGAAGTCATATGTACAGCCTAAAGATGCCCGATTCTTAATTGATTCAATTATTTCCCGAACAAATTTAGGGAAAAAGGGTTGTTCGTGCTGCTTGTATGTTTCATACTTCTCGCTTTTAAAAAGAGATGGACATCTAATCAGATGCTTAAAAGAAACAATCGAGTTGGTTGTCTCGTTTTTGCTTCTTCGAAACATTCCAATATTCTTCTGTCTATTTTTAAATACGAAAAATGCGAATAAGCCTATTTTTGGGGAAAGAATCGAATCGATTCAGAATCGGGCATCTCTAGTACAGCCCCTCTGTTCTTTAGGTTTATTCTTTTTCGAAGAACATACTGAACTAATGGAGTGTATGAAGTTGGCACCCCACTTTTTAAAATTTATAATTTTGAAAGTTGTTCCAGATTGTTCTGACTTTGTACCACATTGTTCCAAAGTGATATTGCTTCATTCGAAACGGTTTTCGAATAAAACAAAAAAAATGATTTTTTGAGCTGGCACCCCACTTTTCGAAAATCGAACATTCTGATACCGCAATAGATTGTTCTAGTTGTTCCAAACATTGTTCCAAAAGGACAAATCCGTAAGTTGAATTATAAGTCCAAAAAATGAAAAAAATGTTTTTGACCTGGCACCTCATTTTTTGAAAATAAAGCATTCCGATACCGATAGATTGTTCTAGTTGTTCCAAAAATTGTTCCAAAAACACAAATCAATAAGTTTAATTATAAGCCCGAAAAATTAAAAAAAAGTTTTTTGACAAACAGTCTATCGGACCAAGAGTAAACTTATACTATCTTTCTTGTTCCAACCAAGATCTTTTTGTTCTGAGTTGTTCTAGGCTTAAGAATTATAGTTCTAGAGTATGAGACTCATAAGATCATTCGTTCTCCGAAAATTCGTAAAAAAATCGATTTGACAGTACTCGACGTCAAGAGTAAACACATGCTTCCTTTCTTGTTCCAACCGAGATCTTTTTGTTCTGAGTTATACTAGGCTTAAACGACGAAGCAACTTGTTGCGTAAAAAGCCAAAAAAACTTTCTGTTCAAGCTAAAGGCAATGTAAATATATGTATTTATGTAGAAACATAAAATATTTTTAACCCTCCGTTTGCATTATGTTTTTTACTAACGCCATTTGCATGGTGACGCCTTTAAGTCCTGTAACATTTTTTTGTTAAACTCATCTAAAAAATCTGAAAAAATTTTGGGATACTCTAGAGAAATTATATTTTATGTTCCAATAGTTACTTTAGTCATTTATTAACAATTTT